CCTTGGATCACATAATGTCCCACCAAAAGTTTAGGCCGGATCAGTTCAGCCATTTTGATGTTTATTGGATTCAAACAAACATACAGACAGACAGACAAGTCAAATTTTTCTAAAGATTCAAGTAATTTTCTTAAAACCAGGATATGTTTAAAAACTCAACATTTGCTGAAATAAAGTATTTGTTTCAATCGCAAAGGGGGGGGGGGGGTTATATTTGAAGAGCATGTGTTGAAAAAATGTATTGAAATACTCATGACCTTTTTAAGAAATGTTCCCAAAATATCAAAATTTAAATTGAATAATCTTTATTTAAGGGGGAAGGGGGCTGGGGGACAGGATTGGATTAATCTTGTGATAAAGAACCTGTAACAAGTAAGACAATTTTTAATATCAATATTAATAGCAACCGGTTGTATTTTTTAATGTAGACTCATATAATTGCTTAGGAATAGGAAATGAAGTCCGATTGTCAAAATCTCTTTCCGGGGACTTAAAACCTCTGAAAAGTGACCTCTGTCATTTCAAAAAAAAATCAAGAAAAAAGGCAATTTTTGACACCCTGTTTTGGCATAAAAAACTTATGGAATTTTTTTTCTTATTTTTTTAGTGTAATCTAGGGGTCATTGGAAGTATATATTAAAAATTTGGGCTATTTATGTCCAACGAGGCCGGAGATAAAAAGCAGTTTCAAAGACATTCCAAGTAAACTAGGCAACATCCCCTCCTCTGAAAAGAAGGATGTTGAAATTAGTTAAAATAACTTTGAGGCTAAGAAGAATGAGAAGAATCTTTAGAATTCAAATAATACAAATACATAAGTACTTAAGGTCCATCCAAGACCTTAAAACACCTTTCTTAACCCGGCCCCCATCCCCCTCAAAAAAAATATCTATTTAAGCAACTACCATGTGTTAATATGCGGGACGATGTGTTTTTTGTCGGGATTTTTACTTTTTTGGTTTGTTTCAAGTGTAAATTCAAGTTTTTAAACCAAACCAAAAAAGGAAAAAATGACAACAATTAACACATTGTCTCATATGATAACACAAGGTGGATGGATATATAAATTTATTCAATTCAATCTGATTGAAAAATGTGAAAATTATTTTTATGAAAATCCGCGAAATATGAAAGGAGCCAGGTTTAAAATATTACTTATTTGCCTCGGAACAAATAAGAGACTTTTTATACCCGAGATCATGAAATTGCGAGTAAAAATGTGGGATAAAATTCCAAAAACTCCCAAAATTTAATTAAAGATAAACTTTTGTGTATTTTTTGCTTTTTTATCTCGGAAGAAGAAATTTTCTCCTCCCCCCCCCCCTCACAAAACCTTTAAGTTACGAGCTGACAACCTAACCTGTTCATATTGGTACTCTTTACCTGTTCAATGATTGGAACATGATAAATTGTTGCAAGCTTGATGTTAGGTTGACATGATTTTCCAGGGTCTGCTCCTCTTTACATCTCTTCAGAATTTGTTCTAATAGAGTTCTGAAAGCCTGTGCGGAATCGTTCATCTAAATATTGAAACTCATCATGCATGTTTGTAAGTAACTACATTATTTAACCGATTAAAATTTCTTGAGTGCCGTTGAGAATCATATTTTACCCACTTTGCTGAATTTATTAGCTGAATTGTGGAAAATAAATGATTTTTAGGGAAAACTAAATAAATTTTTGGGAAAAAAGTCTGAAAAAATTGTCTTTCCATGTTCAGTAATCAAAGGGGAGGGGGAACGGGTTCTTAAACATATACACTTCTGAATTCAGGGTTGGGAAAAATCCGGGTTTAAAAAAAAAATAAACCAGCCAAGTGCGTTTTAATGTTTTTGTTTGTGGTTTTATTGGTTTCATTTGTTGTTTTTTTTGGCTTTTTTTTTTTAATTGAAAGTGGTTGAAACCTAGGTGAACTTCATAGCTAGGAAAAATAGTAATATTGTTGCAATCAGTGCATAGAATCCAATTAGTTTAAAAGCAGATCCAGATCCAGCATCCACACTGGAAAAAAATGGATCCGGATCCAATTCCAGATCCGAATCCAGATCCAGGTAATTTCTTTAAAATTTTCAGAATTTTTTTAAGCTTTAAACATAATAAATACTCTTCAAATATGATAATGTCACCTCCCTTCTTCATAGGGGGATTACTGCAACATTTTTTTATAAAATATGCTCTATTAATTTCAGACTGCTTCTAACACACAAGAATGATAAAGGGATTTTATATCCCTATTCTATTACAACATATTTTGAAAACTCATGAGAAAAACATAAATGTGTCAGTTTTAGTGCTGTAAACTCCCTAAAAATCAATACACTTGATAGAAAACCTTTATTTTTTGAAGGGTTTATCATTATAACAGTGAAAAAGGGCAATACTTAGAAAAATTCTAAAAAGACTCAATAAAACCCAAAAAAGCACACTTACAGATGGGGTTTTTTAGGTGGGTTTTATTGTTTTTTTTTTGGGGCTGAGTTTTCCATGCCAACCCTGCCTGAATTACACTTTGTCCTTTATAAGAGACAAAACAGAAAAAAAAAAAAAAAAAAAACCTATAAAAGAAGGAAAAACATATTTTTTAACAACAAAATTATTAATTCAACCTGTAAATACTTACAAGAGATTTTGTGGGCATCTCCAAAGCTTTGTTGAACTTACGGATCTTCTTCTCAATTGATAGCTTTTTCCCAACATCCTGTAATAATCAACTACTATGCCAGAGTATGTACAATAAACACATCAGAGCAATCCAACCAGACCTCAAAAACAAAAATATCACAAGATCTCTTTATCACCCTGATTCACCTCTCCCAAATTTGAAATTCAGGAAATCCTGTTTTCTCAATAAAAGTAAGGTTTCTTACAATATTTTTGGGTTAAACGTATTAAATGGGATTAAAATACTTTGGCTTTCTATGTCCAATTTTCCATTTTTCCTCCAAAGAGCATACCAAATTCTTAATAAGTTAAATACCACTGAAAAAATACCTGGTTGCAGTACTAGTTTCTGTGAGCTTCAAAGATTTTAGCATCATTTATCAGATTTTTAAATGCGTCACTTGTTTGCAGGTGCTTTAACACCTGGGAAGCCATGGTTCCCAAGGCTTTCAGGGAACATCCAGAATCAAGTATATTATAAGGAAGAATTATGATCATGAAATTGGAAAAGGATACACTACTGATATTGTTTTCATTTCAAGGATGGTTCCTTTTTCAGGAATATTTCTAACACCTTCCATAAAGTTGAAAAAATGATTTTCTGATAAAAGCTTATGATTAAGAATTTCCCCCAGAGAAAATAGGTGTAATGACTTGAAATTTAATCAAAAGAGATTTTCTTTAAATAATTAGAATAAATTAAGAAATTTATTGTTAATTTCCTTCGCCTAATCAAAATGCGATTTTACACAGTTCAGGCAATATAGTTTAACAAATATTTCCTATTAATTTCACATAAAAATATAACTGTGAACATATTAGTTGTTATACTTACAAGGAAACAGCTTTGAAGTCAAAAATCTCCGTCTTGGTTCTGCCTGAACCAAGGTCGGTTAAACGTGACAATAGTTTTTCACATTTATAAGGTCAACCATGTTAACTGTCTTCCCAACAACTTTAATCAAATCAAAGCAAATCAAATATATATATTTGTCCCAAGCCAAAAACATAGAAAATATAATATTTTAAAACATATCTCTGAAACTTGAGGCGGGGAGGCATTGATAGACAGGGGCTGTTTAACAGGCAGCCTCCCACTGGAGAGTCAGTGTTTGCAATGATGCTAACTTGAAGAGGTGCTGCTGGATGTCATGCTGCTCATGGGATGGAGCGAGCTGGAGCCACTGGAGAGGATACTAATCATAAACGTACAGGAATCCGTCAAGGAGAGGTTGGGTACCTTCATTCTCAGGGTGGAACACGTAATAATAAATGAGAGTTAAAGGGAGGAGCAAGAATCACAAAATAGTTTTTCACATTGAAAATCTTTTTTGGAATTGAATAACAATTACTTATATTAAACCCTAAAAACTCTTATGTTAATATTTTAATTTTAAAGAAATTATTTACTCTAAATTAAAAAAATGTAAAAATATTTTTTACAGATTTTCGTTCAAACTTGTAAATATTGTGTTGATTTTATTTGTGAGCGACATATGGTAGTCGCACATTTCGGTCGGGCTGGGTTGGGAAGGAGAGAAATTGTAATTTCCCATCAGGCTAATTGGTTGTGTACCGGCACGTACTAGACGTGGTTTAGCTCGCGCTGTGAGCGCGCCCGGTTTAAGAGTGCGGGCAGGTGACAATACACCGGCCCTGCTCAGTTTTAACAAAACCTCTAGCGGAATAGCTGCGTTTATATGCTTATTTAATATATTTAACCTTGCGTAAATAAAGTGATTGATTTCAGAAAAGATGAGGGGTGGCCTTCAGAACCATCTTGAGTCCTCTGTGGAGGGTCCTCCTACTGCAGAGTCCACAGCTAGCCCCGCTTTTACTAGTACTACAGAGGCCGCAGCTAGCCCTGATATGACCAGTACTTTGGTCAGCACATTAGTTCGGTGAGATTCCTAAATATAATTATTTTACACCATAATTTAAATCTTTCGGTTTATTGTATCGCATTGGTAGGACCGTTAGAGGGTTGAGTAAATTTTGTGTAACAATTACAAAAAGGGAAAAAATTTGATTTCGAAATCGATTATGCAATATTTCTTACGTTGAATAATAGCTTATTAAGGTACGTGGGGGAATGTGTTATGGTGAACATGAGCCACATTGTACAAGCTGACGGGACTGTACAAGCTCGCTGCACTAGTTCTTGTACTGGCGATGTGCTTTTAAGTGTTGGATTAACGGTTTTAATTGGGAGCACCGTGGTGGTAGTCATCAGGCGGCTTGCAAGGTACTATTAATGTTTTTGTATGGGTTGCGGTGAAAATTATAATTTAAACTTGTGTACGGATGTCAATGAATTTGTCTAATTTGAATTAGCTGAAATGTTATCATTTGAGAGGTGTACAATTATAAGTACTTATTATTAAATTAATTCATTCTTTTGTTAAGGAGGTTTGGTTTACCTGGAACTGCAGGGGTTGAGAAACTGTGTAAACCTGCCGACCCTGCCTTGCCTGACGTATATAGTCCAACTGTACTAGAGTTCTTGAATGGCACGACAAGAGGAGTTCGGTCCTGTGAGGAGTTATCTGATAGCCATCAGTAAGTGTTTATTAGCTTAGACGTCTAAACAAACATTATATTATTTTATTAAAAGTATGTTGTTCGGGTTGGTTTTTAAAATAGGTTAATTACCTTTTGAATTAATTGTTATGTTATGTTTTACTTTTACTTGTCATACCTAAATTTAGAATTGTGTTAATTAAACGAAAAAAAATAATTAGTTGTGTTAATATTTAATGAAAAATATGTTGTTTAGGTATGAGCGCGTAGATGTGAGGAGTGTAGGCACACAGACTGTGATGGAGTTGTCCCCTACCATGGGAATGGAGAAGTTGAAAATGGAAATGGTAAGTATCATTTATGATGATACATTTATGTAACGGTAGACACCTGGTACGCGTAGATATATGTTGACTTTTTTGTTAAAGTAATTGTTATAATTATATTTAGGAGGACAGTGACGAGTTGAATAGAATTTACGAGGAGATCGAGGAATTGGTTAAAGCTCGCCGGAACGAAGGGAGAGCGGAAGATGTGGTGGAGATGTTAAAACACGCCTTCAGCTTGCTTGATCAGCTGGATGGTGGCCGGCCCGACAGCGGGTTTGCAGAGCAGCTTGAACGTTCCGGAGCGTTTACTCCTGTTGAGGGTGGAATGTCTGCTGATCTGTATGTTATTGCAGATCCTAATCTTGAGACCCCACCCCAGTATTATAATATCCCTGGAAGGTAAAGTTAAATATTATTTGGCATAAGCTTGTGATTAAGCCAACATGTCTCTTTTAGGTTTATGTTTGAAAGATAATTAAACCCAAAATTGTTTCAAGGCTTTTTATTCAATGTTTTGGTATTTTCTAAGGCAAGACATTTTGAGAATATTTTGAAGCCTGTGTTTGATTCACGAATATATGAACGTATTTTGTGTTTAGGGAAGAGGTTGGTTTAAGTGAGAGAGTAGGTGAAGAAGGACTTCAAGATGATACGAATATGCATTTCGAGTATTTTGAAAATTCATTGCAAGGATCGCCTGTTGTGAACGCTGAAAAGTCCGGTGCAATTGATGAATGTGCAGGAGGAGGAGTACTAAGCGCCCTAGAGTGTGCGGAAAATGGAGCTGTAATCGAGCCTGGAAATTCATTGCAGGGAGCATATGTCGTGAAAGCTGAAAATTCCGGTGTAACCGATGAATGTGTAGGAATAGGAAAGTCCGTAAGCGCCGGAGAGTGTGCGGAGAATGGGGCTGTAACCGAGACTGGAGATTATTCGAAAGACGACATTTATTTCGACATGGAGAGCCCTAGAGTTGAGGCCAACGTGTTGGAGTCGGTTACTGAGTCTGCTTGTAAAGAGAGACGTCAAGGGAGTCAACGGGTTCGACGCACGGAGGTTGAGCGCTTAGGCGGCATGATTGTTGATCCGACTCTATGGTCCCGCACCGTGCGCAAGCCGTAGTTTAACTATGGTTATTTGAGAACGAAGAAAGTGGGTCTTTAAAGAATAATGAGTACGTTTTTTATTTTGCTAATTCCTGTGAGATTCCATTATTATTGGTCATAAGTTTATTTTTTTTTATTGCCTAAATTTTGGCGAATGTTGTTTTTCCTTCACATTTGGCATAAAATTAAGAATTAGCTGAGAGGTTATAGTACCTGAGAAGTAAATTATATGTGATTAATAAAGTATTGAAACAATTTATTTTATTTGTATTAAAATGAGCAGCAGTGATTTTGAAAACGGTGGTGAGCACTTTTGAAAGTTATAGATTGAGCTAGAAAACAAAGAAACTTAATTCTGCTCAAAAGGTCGTTAATTTATCCAGTTTTAAACTTATTGTTGGTGTAGCGAAGGAAATAAAATGGGTCTTAATTCTTTATGCTTTTGAAAATGTTTAATTTAAATATGCAATTTTCCTTTAACATTAAATAAAATGAAATGGTTCATTTCTTAGTTTTATTTTGAATACGATTTTTAACAATATCGAAGGTTATTTATTTTTAAGTAAAGGACGAATTATAGTCGGATTTGGTTAGTATTTAAAAGCAAGCGTGAATGAATGTTTCTAGATCTAGAAACTTACTTATCAAGAAAGTTGCTCATCAACACGAAATGCAAACACAACCGTAGGTCATTTAATTAGTTTTTAATTATTACACGAAAGTTTTTGACAATTTTTTATTTGATAATCATTTCATAAAGTTAAGAAATTTATTTATCGAGGTTGCCAGTGCCCATTTTTAATTAAAGTTATAAATTATTGCAATATTTCGCACTTCGATTTTTGATTAAGATTTTAACGCTAACTTAGATTTTTGATTAAGATTTTAAAGTCATAAGCTTAAATAATATGAATTTTTCTGAACATTACGATGGGTCTTAGAATTTTTAAATTTGAGTTTGGAATTATGGGCGATCACGTTAAGTTATAATAATGCAAAAGTTTAATTTTCTATCGATGGAATCTTTGTTTTTGAAGGATAAAGAGCAGTTTGTTTTTCAGAAAATTATAAAACGTAAATGACACCTTTTTAAATTACAGCGTTACGCGAAAACGTTGCATTTCACAGTCTGGACGAAGAAAATACAGACGGACACACAGTTAAATGCTGTTATTTTAAAGTATTTGGCCGCAAATAATTGTGTAATAGTTCTACATTTAGCAATTATTCCGTGTTTTCAATGAATTAGGCCATGCTCTTTTATCATTTTAGTCATTATAATTCACGGGTTTGATTTTAAAGTACCTATCAATTGATATTTGCCATGGTTAGCTTTAGGCGTCTCACCACGTTAGGAATTTAATACAGCATGATTTTTGAGAGATAAACATAGCTTGTGCACCCTATCGTTATATTTTAATTCAGAGAATACACTATTTTTATTAACACAATTATTCAAAGGAATGTAAAATAAGGTTTGATAACAGTGTCCGTTTCAACAGATTAAAAATTTAGGTTTGTTCTTTGATGTTTAGGAAATTCTTTTATTTTATAGGCTCATGAAATGATCCACGCATTAAAGATTATTGACTGTATTAAAAAAAATGACATTTTTTTTTTCATTTTATTTGCATGAAATTTCTTTTTGTTTTTAGCCTATGAACTGATCCACGCATGAAAGATTAATGAATGCATAACAAAAAAGTTATAAACATTTTATAAAATTTATTTTTTTACGCTACAATATCTACAAAACATATAGCTTTTAATAAAATTTTAGTTTGTTCTAACTACGAATACTGTAAAAAATCGTTTTAATTTAAATAATCGTAAAACAATGCGCGGTTTAACTAAAATTGAAGACTATGAAAGTTGCCGGAAGCAACAGTAAAAAGTTGTCAAAATTTGGTCACATTAAACGTTTATGTAAGGTTAATATGTAAGGGTCATTTTTGGAAAATGAAGACGATTTGGACACTGTTAATATTTTTGAAGGAGTATGTGTAAACAATGTCAAATTAGACATAAGTAATGGAAACAAAAAACGTGCAAATTTTAATATTAATAAAAGCAACAATCATTATTTAATTTTGCGTTAATTATCAGTTGGTTTTCAAATACTAGTGTGAAACAGAATTTAGTTAATTTAACCGATTTAATTCTCCGTTGAAGGAATCAAATTTTACGTTCAATTTTCAAGGAAAATACCCTGGACGAAATTGGCATTAAACCCTGAAGGGTCCAGTAAATTGCAAATTTATGAAGTTAATGAAAATGAACATACTACGGTATGGTTAAACAATATAAATAAGTGTAGACATGTTAATTAACGTATCGAATAGCAAAACAGAAAACTTTAACACTGATCACATCCTGTAGATAGTATATTGGAAAGATTCAGAAATTTCCTTCATGGAGCTTGGTAAAGTAATAACACTAAATATGTACAACGTGTACGTCTCTTTTAGCCAATTATTGAATGTTTATATTTGGAAGGTATACATTAGGTTTGATGTTTGCTGAGTAAGATCTCCCCTGAAAAAAAAAAACATATTTAGAAACACAGAAAACAGCAAACATATATTGAAATACTTGAAAGTACTCGGTATCAGAGAATATACAGCGTTAGGTACGGTACAACCTTGTATCGTAATATAGTTAAACTTTTCTAGTTGCTACTCGAAACACAATATTTGGTTGAGAGTTTGGAGTCCTCGAATATTTGTGTGAATACGTTTTCACGGAGCATGCAAGTATGCTTAACAAAATTGACAAAACGCCTGAAGAGACACCCATTAGGATTTTCTCAATTAGGGTGAAAGAGTAATGCAAAACTGGGTTTTCTAATAAATTTACTAAATGATTAGTTTCCAACTCTGTAAGTATAAATTTGACTGTGTTTGTTATGTCTTTTCGTGTAGCGCCGAAAGTATAAAAACTTGAATTATATTTTACCTTTAGATTAGCGTGTGGTTGGATAATAAAGGGCATGTCTGTAGAAAAGGAAGGACCAATTTCTCCGACAGAGTACTCCGAGGTTCCGGGAATTAAAACTCCGTCTATGGTTAGCCTAGGAACAGAATAATCTCTAAAAAATTTACATGACTGTTTTGCGTTTTCAAAATGTTTGTTATGCAGATCATTAAGGCATGTCATGTCATAATTTTGTTCTTTACAATATGAATCCTTGTTTGAGCAATTTAATGTTACAATCGAATTTGACGTAGTTTTTACTACAGGGAGATTAAATGTAGATATATTTAAACTCCAGGATTTAAAGGGCGTGCCGGTCAATAAAAGATAAGACTTTTTAGCTAAGATTTGAGTCACTTCAATATTTGCAATTAGGCCAATTTTTGTTATTGTTGAGTTTACGATGCTGTATTTATTTTCCATAGCTGGAGTTAAGCATTCTGCATTTGCTAGAAAGGCATAAAAGTAAGGAGGAATAATATTTTGTTTTACACTTTGTAAAATGTCATATTCTTGATCTAGTTGGTTATTTAACGTGTTTAAAATGTTAGTAAAAGGCAAAATTGTACCTATTAATTGTGCGGAGAAATCCGTGTTTATTGAAGAGTAGTCCGCCTGAGCTGAGGGCGAGGGGGACATGGTAGCTAGGATGTTGGTCACAGTTTCTGCTGACGTTCCTGCTGTGGGGGGTAGCAGCGCTAATTCTAAATGACAAGGAAGTAAAGACGGCGAAATTTCGTTTATAAATTTCGTTTTCCTTGTTGTTAAAAGAGTTAAGAAATATGTGTACTGTTCCTTTAAATTAGTTAAAATGATTTTTATATTTTGGTTCAGTTTTGCGTTTTCTAGATGTATCAACAGTTTATCAATATTTTCTTTAAATTTTTCTAAACGAAAAGTTGGGATTGCAGGATTTAATGAAATTTGTATTGAGGATTTCGAAACTTCTGTAGGTGAATTTAATACCTGGGTTGGATAGAAGAAATCCAGTGTTTGAGTTGAGAAGATAGTTGGAATTGAAAGAAACAGGAAGAAGAATGGTTTAGGTTTGACGTACACGTACATTCTGAACATAATTATTTGATATAGAATCATGAGAAAGGTCGTTAAGGTCGTTATATTTAGAAATACTAGTATGATACTTTAAGGAGACCACTGTATAAAATGTACGGTGTAATAGGTTTTTGAGTATAATTATACAATAAAGTAGGTATATATTAATCTTATATATACGTATACGATATATATATTATTTTGTTTTGCGTCTAATTGGCGGATAAGAGTGCCAAGGATTTAATTATAATGTATAATATATATTTAGTACAGTTTGGGACATGAATTTTTCTGAGAGATTGAGTCACAGTAGATTGTTTGTAAAATTTAAGATTGCGTGCAAAACTAAATCTAAGTATGATTGCGTGCAAAATTTTAAGTTGAAATGTGTAAAAGTTACAAAAAAAAAAACAACCTGATTTAATTATGAGGCAGGTGGCGACGGAATTTTGTTACAGCATCGCACATTTGCTCGATAAACGTCAAAATTTGACGCTGAGTACAACCCGTGTAGGTGTTATTTTGTTTAAACACTGCTCCCGGTTCTGGGATAATAAGACTGTACTCTGTCATGGTTATTCCTACTGATTTGAAGCACAGTACATAAATGATCCGGAATACAGCGGCGAGGTTAGCTGCAAGACAATCAATGCGCTTCCAAAGCATTATTAAATCTGAGGGTGACATGTTTTGTATAGCAAAGGGTAGCTGCCCGATTACTATATAGTTGTCTTTGAAGGCACATTGGTTGGGTAGGCTGTCCAATAACAAACGGAAATGCGCAAAATAAGCTAAGATATATGTAGGTATTTCTACTTCTAATGCAGTGCGGAATTTCATACCCGCAATGCAGGCCAAAAAACTGGAGATGTCAAACTCCACCACTATTGGAAGTTCATTTCTCATAGCCTTTGCTACTCTTTCCAGGTGAGTGAAAAAACTGTGATGCGACAGCACAGGAATTGTGCCCCATTCTTTTGTCGGAATTAAACCCGTAAATTTCATTTCACCATGATTTCTAAAAGTCTGCGTGGGGTGCAAGGCAAGTCCCGGTGCTGACAAATTCAGGATATAATATTGAGAGCTGAGATGTGTTCCAAAGTTCTTCAAATGTTTAGCTCCAATGAGAATTACTGCCACTCTTGACATATCGATTGTATCGATAGTATTGATGTCATCTATGTTTATTGGGGGCAACAGTATTTCCTCCGGAGACGTGGCGTTAGACTTGAACAAGTTCAGTCTGTGATCCTGACTGTATGTTGTTGAATGGGCCAACAGAAAGTTTAGACGTCGATATATCGATATCTGACCCAACTCATATGCAAAATGTGTCAGCGCTTGCTTATGTTGATGTAGAAACCCATCCCTGTTGAGGGCCTGCAACAGCGGAATTAAATTCTGCGCTGCCTGGAACTTTGTATTAGCCCGATCCGTGACGAGTTTCGATAGATTTTGCGGAAAATTTTCGATGTCTGGTGTGTCCGCTAGACTCATGTACGGTTGCGATACCCTCAAAATTGAGTTGTTGTTAATCACTGCTATAGGTAATGCTGAGGCTAGGAGTTCCTGTGTTGAACATGATTTGAACATAAGTTCTGACCTGGATCTTATTATAATTTCATGCTGACAGGACCTGAAATGCTTTAACATGTCCTCAAGTTTGACCGACTGGTGTTCCAAGGGGGTCAAAAGGTGCTGTAGCAACGCTAACCACTGCAAATAAGCTGGGCAGAAGGGGCATCGGAAGTACGGATGTTTTTGACAAAGATGATTGAGAAGTGAAGTGGCGTTCAAAAACTTACGACACAGCGCACAATATTGAAGTGGTTGTGAATCATGACCTTCAAGAAAACTATGCAAGGCTGCAGATATCATGGTGGGAAAGATGATATCACAAGAACCACACCGGAACCATGTATTGGAGAATAAAGACTCAATCTGCGGATATTCCATTAGAGGGGGAAGTGTGGACAGATGTTTTAGACAATGAGACAAAAAATCAATATTCGGTTCGGTTTCTTCTGTCCATGCACACACCCTACATTCAAGTTTGTTTTCTAACTTGGCAAAAGTTACCCTTATGATTTCTTTTTGAAAGCTTAAGGACAGCGAAGCGAGCGGATGCCCTTTGCCAAAGGGACCCAACGAAGTATGGGCTGACAATTTCACCTGCAATGAAAATTAAAATTACTTATTATATGATTTTTAAAATATAAAGATTAAAATTTTAAGATTATAACTTGTTTGCCAGGAATTTTTTAGAAAAGTGAGAAAATTACATGAACAAATAGTTGCATAATTTTGCATTGTAAGGATTTAGGTAGTTATATTTTATGAAAATTTTGAATTAAGTAGCTTTTAAAAAAAAATGGTTTGTACCTTGGGAACCAATTTGCAAGTTGCACATTCTTGAATTTCTAAGGCAGGAAGTTCATTAGGAAGCAAAGGTTCCTCTGGCTTTGCTCTGTGAAGAAGGAGATTCAACGTTAAATCCGCAATAATGTGCGAGGTGGAGCCATTCCCTTCGGGGAATATAAGGCCTCAGATTGACGCGGTGTCTTGCCAGGGGCAACAAGGTTGGTCCTGGTAATAAACGCCTTCTTCTAGGTGATGTGTTTGCCTCCCTGATAAGAATGTTGGAGGCTGCCCGTAATTCAGAAAGAGGACTTTGAAAAATATCTTCCTCCAAATCTAAATTTTGCCTTTCGGTTTCGGTTGCATTTTGAGAGGGGTTAACTTGTTGCGGAGGTTGGTCAACCTGATTGTTGTTATTGTTTACTATTACGTTTTGAGCCAGGTGAGGGATAATGCCATTGACCCCGGCCAGGGGGGGTTCAACTGGTAGGTTCTCTACAGGCGGAGGGGGTGTTGGAGGAGGATCGGGTGGTGGGGTAGGGGGAGGAACAACCGGGTGGTTGATATCGTTCCCATTGTCCGTAGGGACTGGCATCCTAGTAATTCTGTAATAGTTTAAGTTCAAAAAATTTGAATCTATCCGATTGCAAGATTATAAGCTTCACATAAGAGTTAGTTGGAATAATACTCACATATAAGAACAAAGCATAGGCAATTGAGAAAGTATGAATTGTTTTTAACTTTGAAGAATTTATTTTATGGACTTGAAGTGAAAATTCAAGTTAAGCAGGTGAATTGCAGGAGCAAGAAAATAAATATGAGTTTATGGAATGGTGGAAAAAGGTTCAAAATCTAACCTTAGATACTGTACATGGCGGTTAGGTATGCCCCAAGGACTTGTCCCTTAGGCTGAAAAGCATTTCAAATCCCTTGATAGACCAAGTTTTTGCCATGTCCGACAGTGGTAAAAATGTTTATTCCCCGAATAAAGTTCTTCGCTTGGATTCATGTCAAAATCGTTAAAGCGGCAATAAGCGATGTGTTTATCGATAATAAATGGGGTTTCTATGCATTGATTTATGGGAATGAAACCGACATTTTTAATTATTCTATGCAATTTCAAATAAATGGATGGTTTACTTGTTAAAGTTTCGAAGAGAACCTTGGCCTTTTTTACTTCCAGAAGGTGTAGTAAATAAAAATAAAACAATATGGATTTTGAAAAATATCTCCCCCTCCAGTATAAAGCTGGATGATCAAAGTATTTTTCAGTTGCCGAACTGCAAAAATTTTGTAAATTGTAAAAGCAATACATGTTTGGCGTTGTGAGTAGAAATAGTTTTGTACGAATGACGAATAAGATTTTTCAAATTGGAATTGTGAACTTTTCCTTCATGAAGCGAATTAATTTCCTTATGGGATAAATGAAATATGAATTAGGTCCTATCGACTGTCTAATTATCTATCTTGAAATTAACTGTTTAACTAACTATCTATTAATTATGGAACAATAACTACAACGTATCTATGTTGAAAATAACTATTTAATTAACTATGTAACTACATACCCACTATCTAATTAACTATCTAACTAAATATTAAATATCTAATTCACTTTTTAACTAACTAACTATTAACTATCTATCTGGAAATTAACTTTCTAATTAATTAGGGAACACGTATTATTTAAGTAACTATCTAATTAACTATCTAATTAAATATAACTATCTAATTAATCATCTAATAAACTAACAATTATCTATCTATTTTGAACTTAGCTATCTAATTAACTATGTAGCTACATACCAACTATCTAATTAACTTCTAACTAAATATTAATTATCTAATTCACTATTTAACTAACTAACTATTAACTAATCTTGAAATTATTTATCTAATTAACTATGGAACACGTACCATCTAAGTAGCTATCTAACTAATAATGTTATGAAAATATATCCGTAACATGAACATTTAAGGAAAGAATTCACAAAACCAGTATTTTGGCGTAATAGATATATCAGGTTCACGTAAGAGATAGCAACAGAAAGTGAAAGTTTACTAAGACAGAGTAATTAAAAGTTTATAGTATTCTCAATAGAGGCAATCTAATACAAAGTAGAAATATTTAAGCAGAACATATATAAGTGGCCTGTTGGTGTTAATAGTTCCAATTATGATAATGTATGAAATGAGGCTTGCAGATAGGTCCTAGCAAAATTGAGCAACACAAAGTATATAAAATAGAAAAATATAGTATTAATATGTGTTTCAGATAGCGCAAAATAGAAAACTCGCAGACGATTTTAAGCAAATTAAACTATCAATTACCGGCAAGAACCGAATTTTACAGTTAAAGTTTATATATTGTAACACTAAGAAACTGGAAATATGTACCTAAGTCGAGCGTAGGTTAATAATAGTATAACGTATGGATAAGATAGGGCAAAGATGGCAATATTACACAAATAAGATAAATTTTGAGATGGATTGTTGACCAGATATAGACAATTAGGATTATTTTAATCGCAATACGTGAGAACAGTTTCTAATTTGTTGAACATTGAATATTTCAAATATATTAGAGTTAGAAATGTTATGTTATATCAAATAAAGACATTTTCATGCTCAATTTAAGTCTACTAATGTTACAGAGTGAGAAAACTTATATGAAAATAAGGAAGGTGGTGTTGCCTTTAAGGCCGT